GGTTCCCCGGGCTGCCGCTAGGCATTCTGACGCTCGCCCAAGAGGGCACTGCGCGCAGCAGATTCGCCGAAGCCGGCGGGGCGGGGGAGCTAGAGGAGGGGTCGAGTCTAGCCAAGGGGATCTGGGAGGCCCGGGCTCGGGAGTTGGGAAAGACCTGAGGGGCAGGAAGAGTGTTCTTGGTGGGTGGGCAGTGGGTGGCGGTGCGCACCGTGGCGAGATTCCTTCGGGCTGGGAAGGGTGTCTCAGAAAGGCCTTTAACGCTCGCCCAGATCTTAGCGCCTCACCTCTCCCGCCTCATCCCGGAGCCTGCCCGGCAGACGGGTCTCCGACTCGGAGAATGCTCGAGACGCCGGAGTCCTGAGGGTCTCCAGAGGATTCCCCGCCTTCCCCTAGCTAGTAATCACAAGCCTGGAGAGTGAAGTTGGGTATCTCCTCGCCCTCCGTCCTGTGTAAGTCTACCAGCACGGTCTAGACTCTATCCAGGATGCTGAATAAAAATAACAGAGGTACCTGAACGGTTCACTTATTTAAAATTTGTTACATTTCTCTTAATAAAAAATTCTCTGGAGATAGTCTGCCAGGATCACAGCTACTGGCAATAACGGGTGTTAAAACAACAAAACAAAATCGTCTAGTCACCCCCACAATGATCTAACATGTAGCATATAAGGTACCCACAGGGCTTTTCAAATGTGGTGTAACGTTGCTTAAACTGGTTGAGAAGTATGTGGATGGTTCTTTTACTTTATTAAATTGGATTTAGTGTATTTCATCGTGTAACAAAATTATCTTAATGCAAAAAACTGACCTTCCTTCATCAGATCTACATTTCAAATAGGTTTATAAGGAACAATGAATGAATGGCAGGTTCCAGGAAGGCCTGAGTTATGCAACAGTTTTTAAGTAGTTTTTAATGTTAGCTGTTTCCAAGTAGTCTTGAAAATATTATGTTTAATGACTTAAAACATGTTTTCTCCTCAATTTGTTTATATACAGATTTCAACATGATGAATTTTCAGTGAAGTTGAAACTAGGTTTCAAGGTTCTCTCAATCCCATTAGTTTTGTTTTCTGGTTTTGCTGGGAAGGGCAGGGGACAATTTTTGATAACTCAGTTTAAAAAGTTCTTAGATATACTACTAACAGGAAGTCCTCCATAAAATGCTAACACCCAAAACACTTTAATCCATACTCACTGCTAGATTATTTTATTTTAAAATGTGCCACAGTGAATGGATGTATCTATATTGGTTTTTATAAATGTACACACACACACATATATATATACACAAAGTATATATGTCATTCGTTAAAGAACTGTCCAAAAAAAGAAATAATTCCTAGAAAGTTAATGTAGGTGTTTACACTTCATTTGACAATTACAACTTATCTGAACTGAGGTTTCCATTGCTTAGTAATGACTGATAATAACAATGACTAGCAATTACAATGACAAAATAGCTATAAATTTCACTGTTGTGCCTTGGTCAAAATTTTCATTGATGGATAATTTTCACCAAAATTCTGTACTTTAGTTAACCTAAAAAATGATTATTCTTCACCTCAGAAATTTAATGGAATCCTAAAGCACAAATTTACTAACAATTCCTGAAATAGGGTATATATTCAAAAGGAATAAATATGTCACTCTTAGCAAAAGACTATTCTGAGAGCTCAAAAAGTATGCCATAGTAAATCATTCGTATACAAGGGTCTCTTGTTTAGATGCCACCATAGATTGATTATTCTAAACAGAAAGGCAGCACCACATTTCTTACTCTTATAAAGGAGGAAAAAGCCTTTTTAAAAAACTCTTTGAAGAAGTTTCAGTAGATATATTGAGTCAAACACAGCAGCACTTTATTAACAAGGACAGAGAAATATGACCACAAGGAAATACTCTCAAGTCTAAGGTGAATGCTATCCTGGGCAGCATAAAATGAAAACTAAGAAAGGTGGGCATCCCAGTATGTGTCTCACAGCTGTTCAATGGGAAAGAAAGCAAGGCAAGACAAGAGCGACAGTGACATCACAGGCTGACTACAATACTTCATTACCTTGAGAAGGGTAATGAATGGTCATACCCCTAACTAGAAAGAAGAGTCATTTAAGACATAATAACTGGGCCAGTTTTGTTAAGTTTTAACACTGCCTACTCCTGAACTCTGGTATTGATTTCCTCTCTATGTAGGAAGTTAACACTTAATGCTCTTGATAGAGGCCATTTAAATCTTTCTGATTGAAGCAGTCCAAATCCATCTGACCTCAGAACACTGGGTCTAAGAGTCAATTTCTTGCAACACTGATATATTTTCTTTGAAATCTTTGATGGTGCTAAGTTGGCATAAGGGTACCATAATTTGAAAATGAAATGGCACAAAGAAGTCCTAATTTACATATATGTGCTATATATTATATAATATATATATATAGCATTCCATATTCCAGTATCATATGACAGAATTTACAGTTGGAATAATCAAGACATTTACTTTAGTTTTCCTGTGGCCACTCATGTAATGAAGTGAAGAACACCAGTGTATTAATAAGGTCCCTTTTTATCGCATGCTATTTCTAAGCAGATATTTGGAATGCTCAGAAGACTCCACTTTGTCTCCTAAGGCCTCCTAAAACATAATTTAATTGAAACTTGATAGAATAAGTATCTTCAGACTCTAGTTGAAGCAGTAGTTTCTGTTTATATCCTAGGAAACCTTGGATAACATGCCTTGTTCATGAAATTGAAAATACCAGATCAGCACGCAAAGAGAAAGGATGCAACAGTTATCAAAGTCACTAAATGCCCAATTATTTTGAGTCATCATCTGTGCAAAGCAAGGTGGTACCAAGTAGGCCAAATCTGACTAGGTAAGAGTTCCAGGAAGATGTTTTTCTGTTTGATGCACAAAAAAATAATTTTATGAAAATGTGGGGATGGGAGAGGGAGCAGCTCTGTGCTTCTTGCTGTGTTACCTTTATTATGTTCCTAGTATTACTGAGACTAGTTTAAAAATAGCCTACAACAAGAATGTTCTGATCACCAGCCACCTTTTCCACCTTTCTTCTTTTTCTGTTGCTGCTTCTTCTTTGTTGCTGGAGCCCCTGCAGGTTTCTGGTGTCTTGGGGGTATGATATTACTTGTAGATGTAGATGCTGTTGCTGCACTGCCAGGTCTTGGGGAGGTGGGTGGGCTGCTCACAGTTTTACTGGCATCCCTGAAATCATCAGATCAGCACAGTGTTGGTCATTCATATAGTCAACAAAAAGCTATAAAAATTTCTGTACATGGATTTCACTTTCCACCCCTCACAATCTCCTACACATAGTCTATTTCTTTTAAGGTGGATTCCCCAACTCCCTATCCATTTTTCTTTTGAATAAAATTTTTACTGCTTTATAATTTTTAAAAAAGTAATAGACTGCACATGCCAATTTTTGGAAAGCTTAGAAAATAAAGAAAATTTTAATGACCTACAATCTTACCATTAGAAATAAGTTATTTAGAAAATTTTAAATTCTGCTTTCTAGTCACATTATTTATTTTTATCTGTTTACCTAGTTAGTTAGTTGAATGACTCCACATACTTAGTTTCCTTCTGAAAGTACTGTAGTCCTAATATTTACAATACAATCTTCTAATTCTAGTATTTACAATATAACCAAACCAGAAACAATACATTTTCTTTCCTTTACATAATAAGCATGCTACAAAACATTTATTAAAGATAATCTGACTATACTTCTCATACTGAAAATGTGTTTTAAAAATTCTTACTAATGACCCTGAGTCAATCTCAGAAAGCAGTCTATGCACTGAGGGACTTCAACTGGGGAGCAATGTCTTACAGTTCAGATGAAGCTCCTGCAGTCGCTCCCTGGGTCCCTTTTCCAATCTGATCCTTCTTTTTACCCTTCTTTCTTCCCCGGTAGTAAGAACGTTCACGCATTGGTAGCCATCTTTCTGGATCTGGGGTCACTTTTGGGTCATAATTCTTAGGCAGTTTTCCTGTGTAACAATTAATTGATAAAGAAATGAGAGGTCTGCCCATAATGCTTTTAAGACAGTCTGTTTAAACACTGTGCCCAAGCCTGGGAATAAAAAAAACATTAAAAGTGAAATAAGTTTCTCTGAGAAAGTTTTATTCGTATAATCTTACCCACTTTTGCCCTGGATTAAGACAGCCTAAACCTATGAATGCATGGCATTCCCCTGGTTAATGATTCATGGCTGGACACTGACCTATGTTGGCCCAATCAGATTAATGGGAAAGGCTTCCCAAGTGCAGAAAGGCTCTCTGTGTCCTGATGGATGGAAATGACAAGTAGGTGGCCCTGTTTCCAACAAACATCTGATTACCGTAATGGGTCCAGTTTTGAGTAAAGCAGAACAAAGAGATATAACTACCGGATAAACTAACCTTGATGCTAACCTTCCTCTACACTGCTAGTTTCATAAACAATAAATTTTCTTAAGCTAGTCTCATGGAGTTCTATGATACTTGTAGCCAAAAGCTCCCTAATGTATAAAGGCTTATGGTGTGCCAGGCACTGTTCTAAGAGCTGTACATGTAATAACTTATTTAATCCTATGAGGTATACACCATCATATTCCACTTCACAGCTGAAAACCTCAGGCAGGTATGTTACAGACCTGTTCACAGT